TTATATTATTATTATTATTTATTATTATTATTATTATTATTATTATTATTATTATTATTATTATTATTATTATTATTATTATTATTATTATTATTATTATTATTATTATTATTATTATTATTATTATTATTATTATTATTATTATTATTATTATTATTATTATTATTATTATTATTATTATTATTATTATTATTATTATTATTATTATTATTATTATTATTATTATTATTATTATTATTATTATTATTATTATTATTAAACAGAGTGGGCCAAAAAAGACAATTTTCTTCCTCGACTTCCAAGGCCATATAATTAACACTTTATTGAATTTTGATCGGACCTTTTTACCACCATATTAAAGAGCATATTAAATACTTTAATGATACTCCGCCACAGCCTTCTGGACGAGCGCCATCGAGAGATTCTGCCATGCGACCGTGATTCGGTGCCTGAGTTCAGTGAGATCGTTGATTTCTCCGCAACTGTTTCGCGGTCGTCAAACTCCTCCCGACCGGTAAGGTGCTGAGGAGTTCAGAACAGCTCGGGGAAAGTGAAAACTTAGATAATCCGTCTTCGTCAGGTTCTCACGTCCTTCGATTCAAAGTAAGCGAGAGTTTTTCCAACGCCCTTCGATTCCATGTGCTGGCGATCCTGTAGCAGTACGAAGTTTCAATGGTGACAGGGAGGGACACCATGGAGGCAGAATATTCTCTCGAGTTGTCGATGCCCTACCCTCAGCGTTCACTTTCACGAAGAAAATATCGGTCTTCCCATCCTCTATGGGTATGGACCTTCCGGTCCATACTATCAACCCGCGCCTTGGCGACTGCAGAGAAGATGATATGCTCGACCATAGCGACGTTGTTGGAGCTGCTCGATGTTGGAGGTCTTCCAGATCAAGAGCGCCGCTATCCAGGTAACTGCCCATGGGTGACTGTACAAGAACTTTCGTTTGGAGAGACGTGAATTCCATAGGCCTTCTCCAGTCCGGCTGCGATTGGAGAAGACTTCATGTATTGGTGTACATGAAGGTGATGAGCGAGAGCCAGCTCCTGCTTATAGAGGACATCTTGGGTATCTTCCGCCCTGGTACTCGTATCCACGTCCTCTGTCTGGGCTGCGAAAACTTTGCTGATATGTGACTCGGTCAAAGTGTCTTTTTTGGGCCTCCATATATATTTTACTTATTATTATTATTTATTGCACTATTATTATTTATGTTGAGGCGGAGGTGGTGTAGTGACAAGTGGCGCGCTTACCACTCGCGCGGTCCTGGGTTCGAATCCCAGGTCGACACCCGCCCAGGCCAACCAAGCCTTCTACCCTCCGGGGACGGTAAATTGGTACCAGATTCGTCTGGGAGGATAAAACACTGACTTGTACATCGGCTGGCCACCGCAAGTCATTGTATAGGCCACATCGCATTCAATAAGCCACTACGATTCTGAATGGAAGTAGAATGCGTGCCGCATCCCACAAAGGGATTGATCAACGGCGAAGACTTTATCCTTTATCCTTTTATTATTTTTAGCTTTGCAGTTATTGTTGTTATTATTGTTATACTATTTAGTAGTTATTGATTTAGAGCCATTTTGAAAGATTGTCTGCTTTTTCGTCTGTGTTAAGTGGAACCTCCACTGTCAACTGTCACTATCCTATCTTTTGGGTGGTCCTTTTTTGGGGATCGATACCGACGCTATCCTTTTCGCTCAAAGCAATATGCCGGTTCTCTGAAAAAGCCTGATCGATAGGTATACTTTTCTTTCCCCGCATTAAGCGAGAAAAGGATTTTCCGTTGATTGATTGATTCTCAAACGTTGATTTTCCTAAATGGTGACTTCTCTTATCTTTTACTCCATAGATTGAACATCGTTCCTATTGAAAATTGATGGCTCGTTCCGCAATCGAGAGTCTTTTCGTTGCGATCGATAATGTCGATAATGGAACAGATCCACAATTAAACTTCACTTAGTTGCACAATTATAGGAAACATTGCACCTGGCGGTTTCGCTAGTCGATCGCACCCTCTCCAAATTCCGAACAAATCGTGATCGATTGCAGCTTATTGGCACAACAGCTATGATGATAGCATCGTGAGTACCTTACTCCTTTGGACGTTGAAGCACATGTTTGACTTGACTTATAATATTGTTTTATCTTCAGAAAATATGAGGAAATTTATCCGCCTGAGTTGAAGGAGTTTACCTACATCACCGATGATACTTATACTGCTGTGCAGGTGGGACATCACCGCTTGTTATTTTTGTTATTCATAGTGTTAGTACGGGATTATCTAGCAAGGGAAAGTCGTTCTGCATTGGCACTTAACCAAGGTTTTGCTTGAAATAGGTAAAAGTGGCAAACAGTGTCATCCTAGAATCATCTCCTTCATTCTGGAAAAACCAAAGAATTGTAGTGGGGAGCCTCTGCCGGCTTTCGACTATTTTCGGCATTACAATCGTAGTGTCTCAGTCAGTGCACGTCCTACCGTTGCGGTAAAATTTTGCAAGATACCTCTCTAAGGGTTTTCTACTCTGCTAATCCCTCATTCTTCCCCATTCCCCAGCCAACCACTATCTTCCTACATTTGTCCGATTTCATGTCTCTCTCCGTAGATCGTTTCTCGCCATCGTTCCTAAAATCCTTCACTTCTGCCCAGAAGAACTGCCGTCAAAGGGAAGGGGGGGGGAGGGGAGATAAAGTGTACGTAAATCGGGAAACGAGAAAATTAACACTTGAAAATATTCTTTGGAAACACCTCTCTTCGCCCCATATCTCGCCTAGGGTTCCCCAACGTCCGAATTTGCCCTGATTCCAGTATTTTTATTATGCTGAATTTTTGTTTCCTTCGAGGCCTTTCTGATGTAGAAGCCTACCGGGCGTTCTTGAAAGTGAAAAAGCCAAGAATAAAAAAGATTTGACTGGCTCACGAATCTTTTCGAGAGTCTCGTGCTAACACTTCATCGTATTCTCCAGTCTACTCTTTTTGAGTAAACATATATTCTAGATCCTGCAAATGGAACGCGTCATTCTGAATGAACTGCAGTTCGATGTAGGCACTCCCACATCACAGTGGTTTGGTGGTAGATTTGCCCGTCACCAGAAAGCGTCTCGCAAGACCATTAATACCATGAATATGCTGCTCGATCTTGTCCTCCTCGATATCAGCTACATTGCCTATCGACCGTCATACATCGCAGCTGCATGTCTGTGCTACGCCAACGTTCTTACAGGTACGATATGCTCCGTTGCTCTTGTAGAGAGGTTTGAGGGGAGGTTTCGCTCTACCGTTTGACTCTCCAGGTTGAACTGTAGAGGAGTCTCCGTATTGTTTCAAACCGGACCTGTTTACTTTGTAGATGTTTGCACTTTAGGATAAGAGGCAAACTATGTTCCGTAGTTGCATGGGAGTTTTCGGTGAAGTTCCCCAAGTCACTGTAGGAAAATCAAATCCCGCAGATCTTCTGATTTTTGTCTAGTCTCTGACGAATAGTTTGGCTCATGACTATTTTTGCATTTGCTCAACAATGTATTTAAGGACCGATCCCTTGGTCTACAGAAATGGAGCGGTGGTCTGGTATTTCTATCGCACACATCTCAAATCTTCTCCGAGCCATACATGAGACCTTCCGGTCTTCGTCCTCGTCCAAGTATCGGTCAATCCCCCAACGATACAGTTCTCCTGAATTTGATTTCGTAGCGGATCTCCCTCCACCCGCCCAGTTGCCATTATGATAATGGCTGCCCTTGAAGAGATATTGCTCTATAAGAATACCCATTTGATCACTCATAGGTCTTCACTGTAATCGTTAATATTGTTCTTTTTTGAGATCTCACCTTGATCCCCAGACTTTCATTTAATTACGCGGTATT